CTACAATGGAGACTACAGGTAGGAAGTGCAGTTGGGTTGGGGCTTTCTGTTTACGGTTCAAGGTTTGTGGTGAGGGTTTAGGGTTGAAGGTTTAAAGTTATGGTTCAGGTTTTAAGGTTTATAGCTTACGGTTCAGGATTTAAGGTCTATGGTTTAGGGTTTAAGGTTTATGGTTTGGGGTTTACGGTTTAGCTGTTGGGGTTTTCTCCGTGTTTTCTTATCGCTATCTTGATTCAATGTCTAGGCTGTGGGAATGGGGGTGTCGGATTTTCTGATTGAGAGTTTAGGCTTTGTGCTTAGAGGTCAGGGGGTGGGGATCGGTGTTTCGGGCTTGGGATTTAGGATTTGGGGTTTAGGGTTTAGGGTTTGGGGAATATCAGCCCTAAACACTAAACCCTAAACCCTGGTAATATCGTCGCTGTCGCAAGAGTGTTTTTTGTTTTGGCAGCTGCCCCAAACCGCTGACCCTCGCTGCCTGTGCTGAGGACTTGACTAGCCAGGTCAGGCCAAGCAGAGTTGGTCTGGAGCTATGCTTATGGTTCAGATATAGGGTTTAGGGTTCAGGGGTTTAGGGTTTAGGGTTGCTCCATTTCAAGGAGGATGTAATTGTTTGTGTCTTCGTCGTTTTCGCAAGTGTGCCTGCAAGGGCTATAGCTCTAAACCCCTAAAGACCTCCAGCCTTGATATTTGGCCAGGATTATCGGATCTTTGGGGGCCGGCGGCTGTCTGAGATGAGCCGATTGGCCTTGTTCGAGGGTTCTACGTTTTTAAAACCAGGGCTTATATAAGGCCCGGGGATTGGATTTAGGGTTCTGGGTTCGGGGTGAGGGGCTTTAGAGGTTCAGGGGCCTTCAACCATAAACTATGCCAGAAAAATGGGGTGCTCAAACGCAAAAACGCAACCCCCCCAAAGCTTCAAACCTTTACCCCAAAGTCTAAACGCTTTAAACGGGAGTTTCCGAAAATTAGGGGTACCTTATTTTGGGGTCCTTATAATAAGGATCCTACTATTTAGGGTACGATATTAGGGTCCCCTATTTTCGGAAACTCCCAAGTATCTAGCATATACATTCAGGGAGTGATGAGAGTGTCGGGTTTGCAGGCTGAGGTTCGTGGATGCAGATTTGCACAACGTCTCGGACTGAAGATTTCGGGGCACCAGTCGAGCTAGCTAGTTTTAAGGTTTAGGGTTTAGGGTTTAGGGTTGCAGGGTTTAGGGCACAAGTCTAATGTAGGGGCTAATTACCCATATTATTTTGGGGGTTTCCTAGTATGAATATAGCATAATGGGCCCCGAAACCCCAGTCTAATTACTAAGGCCCCTACATTAGGGCACAAGCCTAGCTTGCAGGGCTTGCAGGGCTTCGGGGCTTTGGGGGTTTAGGGTTTGCTTTTTAGGGGTTGTCATATACTTTGGATCTCAGTCTTTAACTTAGGACCGGCGGGGGCACCAATCTGACAGGCCTTCCTGAAATCTGCACCACCTCGTGATTTCACCTCCTCTCACCACCATCTTAATGTACTTCTTCGTCTGCTGCCTGCGAATTATATTGTACCCCGTGTTAGCCCTCTGCCCCAAGCCCTAAACCCTCACGGCGAAGCTCTCCACCGCGCTCAGGCACCGCGGACGTGGTGCGGGAGATCGTCATCCCCAAGACACGGGAGAGGTGTTACTCTGCTCCACTGCTGGGGTTCAGGACTGCCTGGGGGAATTTGGCTAGTCTGAACCCAAAACCCTTAAAACCTAAACCCTAACCCTTAGCATCAACATTGCCCCCCCAAAGCCTCATATAATAAGGTCCTTGGGCCCAAAAGCCTTCAAATATGAGTCCTTTGAGGGTAAGGGTAAACCAGGATTCCAACTCCCCCAGCGCCTCTGGTACCGTGAGAAAGGTTTTTTGCGACCCTAAACCCTAAACCCTAAACCCTAAACCCTAAACCCTAAACCTGGTTCACAGAGAGTACTTGCTCTCGCCAGGCCTCAGCCCTTCGGTTTGAGTTCGGGTTTAGGGTTTAGGGTTTAGGGTATTGGGTTTAGGGTTTAGGTTTTAGAGGGGTTTAGGGTGTAGGGTTTGAGTTCGAGACCGTTTGGACGTTGGGATGGACTGCCCTCGTACGAAGCTGAAACCGTAAACCCCAAAAAACCCTAAACCGTGAGCCTGAGCCCCGTCAGCAGCAAAACCCCTCATGATGTCTTTGAGCCCTAAACCCTAAACCCTTTCCCCTAAACAAAAACCTGAACCCTTAACCCTAAACCCGAAACCCTAAACCCTAAACCCTAAACCCTAAACCCAAAGGTTGTGCCATGGTGGATCTCTTTGAAGGTGGGCCGCAGGAACCTTCCTGTCTGATGTCGCACTGGTGGGGGACTCTTGGCACAGCACCTTTGAGGCTTCGAGAGTTTCCCCCGCAACCCTGAAATCCCAAAGTTTAGGGTTTAAGGTTTTTGGTTTTTAGGGTTTAGTGGGGTTTTAAGGTTTAGGGTTTTAGGGTTTGGGGTTTAGGGTTTTAGGGCTTTAGGGTTTTAGGATTTAAGGTGTTTTTGTTTTTTAGGGTTTTAGGGTTTAGGTGTAGGGCGAGTCCTTAAACCCTATAATACCCTAAACCCAAGCGCACTCGCTCGTTGCAGGAACTCCTTCATGTCTCTGGTAGAGGCAATCCTGGCCCATGCATCTGGGCAGGTGCTGCCAAGCGAGAGGATGTGTAGCTCGGACGGACATTTCCTGGGACTTTGGAGGTTTCTTTAGGTTTTTAACAGGGCTGGGAGCTAGTTTTTTTTGCTTTGAGGTTCAGGGATTTAGGGCCCTTCGGTTCGGGTTATGGTGTTTCGGGCTTAGGGTCTGAAGGTTTCAGGGTTTTACGGATTCAGGATGTAGGGCGTAAGGCTTGCAGGTTTGGGGTTTGAGACCTAGGGTTTCAAGAACGCCAGAAGTTAAAGATACGGGTATGTATGGCGTATACTTAACCCTTCCAAGCCCACATTGTCCAAGGTACTCCAGAGCAACTGGACAAAACCTACTGGCTCTGCATCTTCGGTGTCAACCAGCACGTTTCCATTTGCGGGGCGGAGGCAAATCCCTGCGATTGTGGCGCGGAGAAGTTCCTCAATGACCATCCACTTTGCGAGATGGATGCTTGCCACTCTATACAAAGCCCTCAACCCTGAACCCAAAACCCTGAGCCCGAGGGCCTGAACCCAACACTAAACCCTAAACCCTGAACCCAAAACCCTAATCCTTAAACCCTAAACACTGAAGCCAGAACCCTAAACCCTAAGCCACTCTCCTCCAACTAGCTGCTCGTGTCTACCATAGCGTAGCTTGAGATAGGCTTCCGGGGTTTGGGGCTTTGAGTTTATGGTTCAGGGTTTAGGGTTTCGGGTGCAGGGTTTTGGATTTAGGGGAAACATGTAACCAGGCATTTATGTTGCTGTTTCATGGCGTCCTCTAGGAAGAACACAGAGTAACCAAAACCAAAACCCTAAACCCTACACCCTAAACCCTTAACCCCTAAACCTCAAAACCCTAAACCCTAAACCCTAAACCCCTAAACCCTACACCCTAAACCCCTATAAACCCCAGACCCTAAAATCCTTCAACCCTAAACACCGTGAAGCCTAGGACAAGTTTGGGCTGATGATGCAACGGATTCCAGAGCCTTGGTTCTCTCATACCCAACCTTTAAACTTTTTGGGCTCTTACCCTAAGGGTCCAAGTACCATTTTTTTGAGGACTTTGGGGCCTTTTTGGGTACCGAAAGCCATAAATAAGGACTACTTGGACCCTTAGGGTTATAGTTTAGTAGTAATCTGAACGTTCAACCTTTTATGTCCCTGGCTTATTGGGGCAGTAAGGAGCATGCAGTGGCTGTGGATGATCGCCTCGCCACCTTCAGCAGGCCTCACGGGTTTAGGGTTTAGGGTTTAGGGTTCAGGGACGGTTTTTAATCTCTAGCTCTCCAATACTAAACGGAGGGCGTTCTCCCCACCCCGCCGTCCTGTAAAAGCTCGAAACGTGTTAGAATTTCTGGCGCGTGTTTGTCTTTTGCGGATTGTGCTTCTGCTTTGGCTCTTGCTCATGCGATTTGTTAAACTCGAAACCCTTCTAGAACCCGGATAGAATCTTTCAGTAGGAATATATATTCGTATATAGTAGTGTAATGTAGTGACTGCTGCAAGATCTGTTTACGTAGAAGAAGAAGAGGAAGATCTTTTGAATCTCGCCATTATTCCTTCGGATTCCTCAGTATGACTACAACATAAAGGACCCCCCCTGAGTCTAACAGTTAAGGCCCCACCCTAAACACTAAATTTCCCTGAACCCCAAACCCTAAACCCCAAAGCCCTAAACCCCTAAACCCCCAATTCCGAAAAGCGTTTCCCCAGGCCTTGTCTTACCCTAAACCTTATAAACCTGAACATGCTAAATCCCTCAACCCTCAATTCCGATAAGCATTTTCCCAGGCCTTGTCTGAAACCCTAAGCTCTAAACTCTAAACCCTATAAACCCTAAATTCCTAAACCCCTAGACCCTCAATTCCCAAAAGCGTTTTCCCAGGCCTTGTCTTAAACTCTATCGACGAAGAAGAAGTTGGGTAGTTCTCTAAATTAGGGTCCATTTTGGGGTCCCTTCTAGAAGGGTGCCGTACCATATTGGGGATCTAAAATGGGACCCTAATTTAGAGAACTACCCAAGTCCCTAAACCCTAAACCCTAAACCCTAAACCCTAAACCCTAAACCCTAAACCCAAGTCGTTTGAGTCTCACCTGGCAGGCTCTGGGTCCTCAAAGAGCTGTATACCGCCTTGCTCCTCGGTCCTCGGCAGTGTCGGTTTGGGGTTCAGTACAAGGGTTTAGGCTTCAGGGTTTAAAGGGTTTAGGTTTTAGGTTTCAGGGTTTAGGGTTTAGGGTTTAGGGGTTTAGGCTTTAGGGTAGTCGGGGCTTTGCGGTTTGGGTGAACCCTTTAAAACAGGCTGCTCCCAAACTCTCTAAAACCTTAAGTCCTAAAGTCCTAAACCCTATAAGTCCTTGAGCCTTAAAGGCAGCCTATAAATCCTAAACCCCCAGAGGCTGAACCTCATGAGTCCCATCCCAAAAGTCCTACACCCCAAAAAACGGCCCAGCACCCTTACTCCTACAAGCCCTCAGCCCCGCGTAAGCCCTTACATCTTTCTGACCCTTAGGCTCTATCAAACCTAAACCCTGAGCCCCTATAACCTTTACACCTTCTATCCCTATTGCTTTTTATCCTTAAGCTCTCATCGCTTAGAAACTCCTTATAAACCCTAAACCCTAACCCAGATCGTCGGGCTTGGACAGCGAGTTCTGCGGCCGGGTGGCCTCAGACTTCTCGGTGGCCTCCTTGCAGGGCGTCCGGTTCGCCAGGGCATCGAGGGAGGAGCAGTTTTTCGGGGTTGCTTCTAGGGTTCCTCTAAGGGTACTAAAGGGTTAAGGGTTTGGGGTCTAGGGTTCGGGGTTTGGGGTATAGGGATTGGGGGTGGAGAGTTTCTTGAGGCTTTGCAGGGTATTATGCACGCGTGAACTTAGGATGGAAGGCTCGACACCCGTCAGCATGTGCAGGTTCCACCACGAGATTCGCAGGACATTCCTCTAAATCCAAACTGCTCATGGCTAGTTCTCTAAATTAGGGTCCGTCTTAGCGCCTTTTATAAGGGTGCCGTACTATATTGGGGACCTAAAAAGGGACCCTAATTTAGAGAACGACCCTCATGGCTTCAGGTTCGAGGTGCAGGGATTCATGAGTTCACGCTTACACTGAAGCAGAAATCCGAAGCACTTATCACTCAGAGTGTTCAGCCTCCTTAAACCCAAAACCCTAAACTTTGGGGGTTTAGGGTTTAGGGTCCAAGACCCTAAACCAGGAGGACCGCGTCATGATTCTTCGGGAGATTGAAGCATCCATCGGCTACGAGGCTTTCGATTGCAGCATACTTGACAAGGCCTCCGCACCTCGTCGGTTCAGGGGTTTTGGATTTGGAGTTTATGGTTTAAGGAAGTCCAAGAATGTCTGTACTTCTGAAAATGTCTGCAATAGATTCGTGAGCGTCGCACCATGCATGTATTCCTAGTCTAAGCGCTACACTCGGAAAAGCCCTAACATCTTAGACACAATGCCCTAAGCTCACAACTGTCACCCTGGATCCATTTGGACGGTTGGACAGGTCCAGCGCGAAAGGGCCAAGTTTGCCATGGCTGATGCCGTCATGAGACGCCGCCCGGAAGCCGTACAGGCACTCCTCAGCCAGGATCGACCAGGGCAGGCAATTCATGCAGGGTTATCTATGGGTCGACCTCTTTGTTGGCGGCTTCCATGATGCCTCGTTTTGGAGCCGGGGTGGAAGAAAGAAATTCCATGATCTCCTCGGAAACGGGCCGTGGTGTCCGTGTGAAGCACCTGTAGGGCTTCCATCACCGATAGTCGATAGTGTAAGACTATGAGTTGATCTCAACTTCTCGTAAACACATGCACTCAAAAGCATCTTAATTGGCATTATCTTACCTTTGCCACTCAGTTCCTGCTTACGAAGCCCCTGCTTCAAGAGCCCTGGAGCAGCCTTGTTGAAAAAACTGGCTGAAACTTTCGAAAGTCTTCAGCCTCCCAGTGGGAGGACTCATCCCTGTGCAATGCCCAGCTGCGGTGCTTTAGTTCGAAAGGACCGGGTGTAGGATAGGGCCTGGATAGGGTTGAAGGTAGGATTCAGGGTGTGGGGAACCCTAAACCCTCAACCCTAAACCCGAATAGTGTCTTGGGCTTCAAGGGCTAGAAGGGTTTACGGTTTGGGTATAAGTTTGGGGATCCGGGGTTACGATTGTAGGGGTTTCGGTTTCAGCTTGAGAGGCATTAGGGTTTAGGGATGTGCAATCAGCACGTAAATACCGGTTGAGGGTGCAGCGTGGGAATGAACACAGGGGATCGAAAGTTGTTTAATATAGTGACCTTAGGAAGATGATTGTAACAAGAAACCCTAGAACAATAATGCCATTGGTAGTCTGTCAGGCATATACATTCTGGTGCTACTGCTTAGTAGCATGCTCGTGGGCGCCTACTTTGGGAGTAAAGCAGGTAGAACATAGTAAAACTTCTCATCAAAGCAGGGGGGTGTCATTATTCTAAGCATTCAGACCTCTCGGTGAGGCGTTTCTGGTGATGGGCTCTCGGTTTAGGTTGTATGGGGGAGGGTTTTGGAGGCGTGGTTTCGCGTGGTTTGGAGCACCCAGGACAATATGATATTGCTGTTGGACGAAATTCTACATTATCCATACAGCAGATATATCACCACGCGAGTACATTTCCCAGAGTTCACGGTGCGCAAGTTATCGCAGGTTTTGGCGTCCATCAGCAGGAGTGCTCTGATGCTCAACATCGGGAGATAATTGGGCTTTGGGATCAAGGTATAGGTCACGCATGTCTGGGAACATTACTTGTAAGAGCTCCCTAGAACAGGTATAGTTCTGAACGCTCTCCAAAACAGATATCCTACTGTGATTATCTTGACCTCTATGTACTCGACAACCACAAGCTTCTGAAGCGACAGCCGGTTCGTAGATGGTGGAACCAGTCTAGGGTTTAGGGTACGGTATTATCATCTGTGCGCACACATTACCCCGCGAGCTAACTCTAGCGCACGATGAAGCCCCCCAAAATGAGACAGCTTCAAGCACCTACGACGAAACCTCCCGCATCCGGATCAACCTGATCCCTGAACCCTAAACCCTTAACCCTGAACCCTTAACCCTAAACCACACCCGAACCCTAAACTCCAAATGACACCTGAAGAAACCTGAGCCATCCTGCGTCTTGAATCAAAGGCAGGAGCTTCAATCTTTAAGTTTCCAAACCCTGCACCCCAAGCCCTTAAATCTCTATCACAACCCCAACATATCTATCGCTTTAAGGGTTTGTATAAGGAATCATGAAAGAACACAAAAAAAGGAGGGTTCTTGGGATCCTCGGCGTCCGAGGCCCTTAAGGCTTAGACCCAAACCCCTTGAAAACAACCCCCTAAACCCTAAAATTCGGCTTTCGGTTTAGAGCTTAGGGTCTCAGAAGCCTGCGGCCTCAAAGTTTAAACATTAGGGTTTAGGGTTTAGGGTTTAGGGTTTAGGGTTTAGGGCCCTAAACCCCAAACCCCACTGACTCCAAACTCCCCAAACCTCTTGCGCTAAAACGTCTTCACAGAGACCCGAAACCCTAAACCCTAAACCTTTTAAACCCATGTTAAAGGAAACTACAGGTGGGGAGTTTAGGGTATATAGGGCTTCTATAAGGCTTCTATAAGGTATATAGACCTTCTATAAAGCTCCTCTAACGGTAACTACCCACCCTAAACCCTAAACCCTAAACCCTAATGTCCTAGACTATGTAAGTCAGGACCCCTGCATTTAGTGGCGGAGCAGACGAGGTCCGCCACAGAAAACGAGGACTCCCTCCGTCTGCCTAGGGCTCTTAGGGAGTTGTGATTTAGGGTTTATGGGTTTAGAGTTTAGGGGTTTAGGGTTTAAGGTTTAGGGGTCCTTTTGTGAGGGTGCCGTCCTATGTGAGGGACTTAAATTAAAAAGAGTCCCTAATTGAGAACGTAGGGGAAATGCCTAGAGCTCAATCGTAGACAACTCCGACAGTAGAGCCGGATTCGACGACACCTCAAAGACAACGACTGGGTGCACAGCTACGACGCTACAACCCTTAGGCTCTAAGGACTCATATGTTTCAGGCTGTTGGGATATAAGAGCTATTTTGAGCCTTAGGGTTATTAGTTCCAGAGTATGGTTGCTGACTGCTTCGGTCACACCCTGCAGTATGTGAGCTGGGGATAGAGGGCGCAGGTTATGATGCAAGCTGCAGGTGGCGTGCAGGGCTTATAATCCCAAACTCCGAAACCCTTAATCCTAAACCCTAAATCCTAAAATCCTAAACTCCTAATAATCCTGAATCCTAAACCCTAAAGGCTTTAGAGGTTCAACGTATGGCAGCTCGGAGTTGGGAGTTGCGCATTTATTGATCCAGTGATTCAGTACTTCAGGTTTACCCCTAAGCCCTAAAGTAGTTCCTTTTTGGGGTTCATATTTAGAATCCTTTCAGGTAATCCCAACAAGGAACTACTGTGGGGCCTATGGGTAGGGTTATCGCGCTCTAACTCCGCAATACGGAAGGATCTTGTGCGAGAACGCTTCGTGTCAGAGATATTCTGCTCGCTCGGACAGGGGTAACATGAATGTAAGCTGTGGAATCTGAACCGTCGCAGCAGCATTTTAAAGTTTTGCATCCAGAGACGGCCTTGTAATATAGGGGCCTTAATAATTAGAATAGGGTTTGGGGGTATATTTTACTATCATGATAAGAAGGAGCCCGCCAAAATAGTATAGGTAATTATTGACCCTAAACCCTAAACCCTATAGTAGCACGAGGCATCTCCAATGTTTCTCCTCGGAGCTCCAAACCTGAACCCCCAAACTGTTGAACACGTCAACCCGGCCCGGAAGCGCCAAACCCTAAGCACCCTAAAACTCTAATCTAAACCCAAAACCCTAAACCCTAAGAAACTTAAACTCCTAATCTCTTAACCCTAAACCCTGAACCCTAAAACCCGACCCTAAAACCCAAATTCCTAAACTCTAAACCCCGGACTCCTAAACCCTACACCCTAAACCCTAAACTCTAAACCCTAAACCAATATATTAATACCCTGACCCGAGGATGCTGCGAACCGACCAGCCATTTTGGAGCTGCTTCTACAGGCACATGGGTGGTTGTCCAAATTATAGTCAGGGTTTAGGGTTTAGAGTTTAGGGTTTAGGGTTTAGGGTTTGGGGTTTGGGGTCCTTATTATAATACGGCACCTATTATTTAGGGTACCCCAAAAGGGACCATAATTTTGCCAACTACCCACATGGGGCTAAGTCGAACTGTAAAGTAGGGTTTAGGGGTTTAGGGGTTTACGGTTTAGGGTTTATGGGGGTTTATGGTGGCTTAGGTCTTATGGGGGTTTAGGGTTTAGGGTTTATGGGGGTTCAGGGTTTAGGGTTTAGGGGTTCGGGGTTTAGGGGTTTAGGGTTTCGGGGTTCAGGGGTTCAGGGGTTCAGGGGTTAAGGGTTTAGGGGTTTGCTTGGAGCCCCGATATTGGA